AGCTCTTGAGAGAACATTTCGGCGAAACCAGGCGCCGACGTAAGTGGTCCAGCAAGCACTACACTGTTGATTATTTCGCTTCTGATATCTATTGGAAGCCGGGCTGTAATTTTGCGTAGAATCTCCGGTATTGTAAATTCATTATCGTCGTTCATCATTGAGCTATCGGAGCTAAATAATACTGAACGAACTGATTCCTCAAGAGTACCATTGGGTAGGTAATCCAATGTCTTTTTTGATAACGCACGGGTGTTTGTTGTTCCAAGCAGAATAGAAACCTCATTGTCATCTTGGGTTGCAAAGTTTTCCAAATCGCTTAGACTTTGTATATGTGTAGTAATACGTGCAAGCGCCCGGTCTGTTATCATGATTTGCGGGGTTATAATACGAAAATCATAAATCTAAGAAACAGTAGAGAAATTGAATGGGTTAGATTATCAAAACGTACGGTCGATTTTAGTTCTAAACTATATCATACTTACGGGAATAACTACCGTTTCTTCCAAGCCTATACCTATAACAATTCCCGTTGATAGACTGTGTGATAACAGATAAAGAACAGAAGATGGGATGAAAAAAACAGCCGGCACCTAGATTAAGAGTCAAACCACAATGGTTAGTGCTATCTCTATAAAAGTTCTGTATTATTTAACAAAAATACGCACCAGTAAATCATAAAGGAAAACTCTTGACAATAACTGTTTGGACGGGTTTGACATTCGGAAATCCTCGCAGATAATAACCTTTCGACTATTTGGATCAAGTAACAGTTCTCTAGATAAAAACCATATTGGCAGTGTTAGTACGACTGAAACCATATTCTGCCTCCGGTTTGAGCTAGCGAAATGACATACTCATGGTATATCTTACGAAATAGTTGAATCAGCCTTAGACGCTGGTTAGGTATGATCGTTTGTAGTGTGTCGTGATGGGATGGCTCCAATTGATGAATTGCTATAGGCGAATCCTGGCCAGCAATACCTGAAAGGATACGGTTTTCATCAAATGTGAATATTATTGGGTTTTCCATTCCAGTTGATTAAAACACAAGTCTTGTTTGTTTATTTGTTTAGCTATCGGTGTACAACTCATGAAGCGCGGCTCGGATATCTTCCCATCGTTTTATATCTTTGGGCAATGGTTAAACATTTTCAAAGAAACAGTCTTACGGGATTATATGAAGGAATTTAATTACTTTTTTTTAGCTGTACTGGCTATATATTTACACAGGTTATTATTATTAGCTAAGACGGCATATTATCTTCCTATTTTGAAGCCTGGCTCATCAGGAACTTCTTAACCAGATCAAACTTATTAACAAGGTTTAAGCCAATGGAACGGCCAGCAACAATAACAGGAGATCTCCATGAGTAAATTTTATGCAGTTTATCTACAACTCCAAGCAGTAAATGATTGGGGAGATATCTTTCACTAAAGTAAGGCTCAAGGGATAATGAGGAACCAATATCAGAGCCTCTTTTCACAGCAGTCTCTAAAGCATTAACTAAACTCTTAACATCAGCCTGCCCCATATTCAGACCTTGACCGGCCAAAGGGTGTGTAGTATGCGCAGCGTCACCCACTAAAGCTACACGTTCAGAAACATAAGTATCGGCATGTTTTAGTTTAAGCGGGAAAGATGCTCGGGATCTATCGAGTACATCAACAGCCATAAGGGGGATAGAGTTATCTTCATTTTCAATGATTGTATGCTGACGCCTCCATTCTAGTTCTTCTGTAAGACCTTCTTTCATGGTGTACATGTATCTTAAATCAACATCTTTTAATCGGAAAGCAGCGTTAACCATAGCGACAAAATCTTTACTACTCAAAGATTTTAAATGTTCAGCCAATTCGGGGGTGGTTGACCAAACTAAAGATGCAAACCCATTTGGTAGGGGAAGCATAGCAATGGGGCCAGTTGGCAGAAATCTTTGCCAAGCAATATTTCTGAAGTCTTCCCATTCAAGCTTCAATGTAGCAACTAAGCCCTGTCTATTGTAATCCCAACCTCTTGATTCAATACCCGCAAAGGTTCTTACGGGAGAATTAGCACCATCACACCCGACAAGAAGTCGAGTCTTAATACTCTTGCCATTGTCTAAGTGCACAATTGGCCACTCGGATTGACCGACAGATTCGTTATTTTCACCTTGGGTAATCGATTTCACACGAGACTTTTGAATTATTTCCAGTTTGTTTTTACCAAGCGATTCATTGAGCTTGTCGATTCGCTTTAGTAGAGAATGTTGGATGTTGAAAACTTCAACCATGTAGGCAATATCAGTGTTTTCACCCAAGATTGCAGGGTTGAATTCAAGCTGGGCATCAGAGAGACCATCCCAGACTTTCATTTCATCATAGCTCTGGATTCTATCATGGGAAAACTCATCCCAGGCACCTATACTTTGTAAAAATTTCACCGAGGAGGGGGTCAAACTAACAACTCGGTTTTCGTAAAAGTTGTCCGGAGGGCTCCACGATCTGATTTTATCCAAATCACCACCTTCTATGAGAGATATCTTCATCGATTGGGTTAATGGCGAGTTCTTCAGGGCCAAAGCCATAGTCAGCCCTGCGGGACCACCACCAATAATAACAATATCGTTAACCTGTTCGACGTTACTGGGCTCTTGCTGGGTGGAAAAGAGTCTAGCGGATTGACTCCTCAGGCCCATTAAGGCTACGTTGGTGGTACTAGACAGTCTGCTCTTTGCAGAAAAAGCAGCCAAAGTAGATAATCTTCTAGACAGCATATTATCTTGGGTGCTTGATTATTATTACTAACCCTTAATCCCACAATTGTAGATGTTGATGGTGTTAATGGATATTGGGCTGAGTGTAAGGTGATGTGGGATGAAGATTGAATGTGAGGCTATGGGACCCTAACATCTCCCACATCATTCCTCGTTAGCTAGGTTTGGGCGGCTACTCGAACATATCCTAACAAAGTACCTAATCTATCGCAATAATATCACAATCATGGGTGCTGTCCTATCTGTTCCAATAACTATGGGAACAGCAGTAGCTACTTCAGCTGCTACCTCTGTTTTTTCCTGCTTTGGGTCCCTTCTCTGTACCTCCTTGTTTTCAGGCTTTGGTGCTTGCTCGTCTAGTATTGCCACTCGTGTTTCTTATGCGGTACTATTCTCTATAAATTCGATCCTGTCTTGGATCATGCTCACAGATTGGGCTATTAAACGACTGGAAGGTCTGACATTCAACTATATGAAGTTTAAATGCCAGGGCGAGGAATGTTATGGATTTGTCGCCGTCCATCGTATTAATTTTGCGCTGGGTTTATTTCACCTCCTCCTGGCCTTACTCTTGAGTGGAGTCCACTCGACTCGAAATCCCCGAGCCAAAATCCAAAATCAGTTCTGGGGTCCCAAGATTGTTGTCTGGCTTATGTTTATTATATCCAGTTTCTTTATTCCGGAAAAGTTTTTTGTTCTTTGGGGTAATTATGTTGCTATTGCTGCTTCAATCGTGTTTATTCTCATTGGTTTGGTGTTATTGGTTGATTTCGCTCATGAATGGGCCGAAACCTGTTTAACCCACATTGAGGATGATGATTCCCGTTCGTGGCGGACTATTTTGGTAGGTTCTACCCTATCCATGTATGTGGGTTGTTTAGTTCTCACTATATTAATGTACATCTTCTTCAGTGGCTCCGGTTGTTCTATGAACCAAGCTTCTATTACAATCAATTTAGTACTAGTTCTTTTGGTCTCTATTATTTCGGTTAACCCCCTGGTTCAAGAGTATAACCCCAAGTCTGGTTTGGCTCAAGCTGCCATGGTGTGTATTTACTGTTCTTATCTCACTATGTCTGCTGTAGCCTCTGAACCTGATGATAAGTATTGTAATCCTTTAATTCGCTCCAGAGGTACGCGAACCGCCAGTATTATTTTAGGATCATTATTCACTTTTATTGCCATTGCTTACACTACTATCCGTGCAGCTACAAAGACTTCAAAGTATGACGATTCCCCCAGTTATAATCACGTTTCATCCGATGAGTTAGTTGTGGTTAATGGGCCCACAAGTCGTAGTGAAATGCGCGCTAATGCCATCCGTGCCGCTATTGAAAGTGGTTCCCTTCCCGCGACTGCCTTGAACGATGATTGGGATGAGTATTACGATGATGAAGATAGGGAAGCTTCATCGTATATTGATGACGAAAAGGGAAGTACAAAGTACAACTATTCCTTATTTCATCTTGTTTTCTTCTTGGCTACCCAGTGGACTGCTACTTTACTTACCATGAATGTTGAGAAGGATGAGTTAGGCGACTTTGCTCCAGTCGGTCGTACTTATTTCTACTCCTGGGTTAAAATTGTCAGTGCATGGGTCTGTTATGCTTTATATTCATGGACCCTGGTGGCACCAGTATTATTCCCTGATAGGTTCTATTTAGAAGAATAAATGAGGATGGAGAGCGAATGTTTTCTGTTAATGACAATAGGTTTTTTTTTACGTGTTATTTTGGTTATTGAATTTTTTATAAATATTAGTGTGCTTTTCATCTGTTTTTTGTATTTTCAGCATTAACTATGCTCCTTTACTCTGAAAGGAGCAAAAAAAAGTGAAAAACTTGCTCCCTGGGAGGTTCGAACTCTCGACCTTCAGATAACTTGAAGTATAAGTCTATGAGACTGACGCTCTACCAACTGAGCTAAAGGAGCCTTGTTTTAGTGATGTGATCGTAACATAACAATTTAAATAATGCTAAACAAAATATACTGAGATACTAGTTGCTTGAATTCCTCGTACTTTCCAATCAATAGCCAACTTTGGGCTGTTTATTCTCCTTTATTATACCGGTATTGTTAGTAAAAGAGGGAATAACTTGCGAACCTAATTAATAAGGAAAGTTTGCCTTTAGATTAGATACCTTCCCCTCATAAAATAAGCAACACTTTACTAAAAAGAACTGACAGGACACAATTATCAAGTACAAAATATATATATTACAAAATACTAATAGATAAAAAATACTCCGAAACGGGGAATTGAACCCCGGTCCCACGCGAGCTGAATTTATTAATAATTCTGACAGGCGCAAATTCTAGCCACTAAACTATTTCGGAAGGTAAAATGCGCCAGCCCGGAATCGAACCGGGGGCTCACCGATGGCAACGGTGAATTTTACCACTAAACCACTGGCGCTTTTTAGTTACAGCTTATGTTGTTAATTGGACTAAAATAAACAAACTATTGCTATCATCTATGCACCTTGAATGAAACTCTTTGATAAGAACTCATTATATAAAGAGTACCAATGTTTTTTAGTAATCGTTTAATATTAAGTTTGTCCTTAATTATTTTTCCATTTTTTATTTGCTTTTTGTGTACTATAATGCTAGCTTTACTGGAAGAAAGGTTTAAACAACTTCAACTGAGAGATTTCCCGGTTTTAAACAAACCAAAAAATAATACATAAAATAATACAGCCAATACACATGAAAAAAAAAGTTTTTTAGAAAGTCTACGATTTATATTAGTTTTTATATTACTAACAAGACGAGCACTTATCATAAAACATTATTAATGCTTATAAATAACTGAAGTTTTTAACAATATAGTTGAATAACGAATATTAAGATATGCTGTGTTTTTTCTTTCTGTTTTTTTTGAGAAATGAGAGAAGTAAATATGGTAACACGTTGAAAATATCTTGGAACTATATTTTGTTTTTGTCATTTAAGACAGATATCTAATGAACGTATCGTCTGCGGCCATATCCATTGGAAAGCACGATTTCCCGTCCGATCAATCANAGTTAAGCCAGTGAGAGCCTTCATAAGTACTACGGTGGGAGACCACGTGGGAACATAGGGTGCTGCAGTCTTTTGTTTTTCAAAGATAGGTTTCTCCAGACTTTGGACTCGTTGGAAAGAGAGCCTCGGGTGATAAATGGTTCCAACGTATTACCAAGGAAAGAAGCAGTAAATTAGCCTGAGATAGATTTTCTGATTTTATTTATCAACATTAGGGCATTAAATATATATATATATATATATTTTTAAACCCAGACCCGAGAAATTTGAGGTCAAAAAAAAAATCCTGTTGAAGAGCCTACAAGCGAAAATCAAATAAAAATAACGTGTATAGCATTTGGAACATCCAATGAATTAAATTCACTAGGTAATTCATTTCATTTCAATTCAAGTTCATAGGTTCCTCCAGGAATGGCTTATCTAAGGGCAACAAGGTGAACTACTTATTGGAAGTTTTCTTAGCAAGATATATAGCATGCCCCGTTTGGAAAAGAAAAGAAACCTTGTTGCCCAAGAATATATAGTGTAAAAACAAAAAACAATAAAAACTAATATATTCAAAACAGCTATTTTGAATATGCTGGATCACTCCACACGGGACTCGAACCCGCAGTCTCCTGCTTAGGAGGCAGATGCCTTACCATTTGGCCAATGGAGTTATATTAGTATTAACGAAAGTATTATATTAAATATAAAGTGTAAATGTATGTCTAATTCAATATGACCTCGGTGGTCAATTTCGGTTTGTGCCAAGATTGGTTGTTTATATACGTATTAAGTCAAACAAGTATTCGTATGTTCACAATGGAAGCGGCTATATAATTTCCTAGAAAACATCCCCAAACTAAAGTTTTTCACATATTGTTATATTTAATTATTTCGATGCAGTACAGATTTTGGGACTTGTTACCCTGATTAGAAAATTTCAACTAATTACACTATGCCAAGCAGATTGTGTACTGAACACGACAAATAAATAAAAAAACAGTTAAATTTTTGTTTAAGAGCATAATTACTTAGAAGAGTAAAGGCTGGTTTTTTTTTTACCAGATGAACATAGTTAGACCTGCCAGTAGTGTGTTACGTCGTACTTGTTACAAGTGAGTCTTCTTTTTATTGTTGCCCATTCCTTCAACAATGAAGCTATTATCGTAATCCATTCATTGATTCTGACTATTACCATAGGTGCGGCAACTTTGGCCACCAAGCTAAAGCATGTAACGAAACTGAAAATCTTTGCTATAACTGTAAAGAAATTGGTGAGCATTATATTCCAGTAATACTTATTTTAATTATTCTCTATAGCTAACTAAACTTGTATGCTTTATTTTTCTTTAGGACATCAATCCAAAAAGTGTCCTAACCCCAAGACCCAAAATTCTAAGCAATGCTATCATTGCCAAGGAGTTGGACACGTCCAATCTGACTGTCCAACAATTCGGGTTGCTAAGGCGGCTGCTGCTAATGCTTCTAACCCTGGTACAGCTAAACAATGCTATCACTGTCAGGGTATTGGACACGTACAGGCTCATTGCCCTACTCTCCGTATCGCCAATGCCTCAATATCGAAGAGCTGCTTTACTTGCAAGAAAATCGGCCATATTGCTGCCGATTGTAGATACCGAAGTGGTAGCTTGAATGTTATACAATCTTTCTCCAATTCGCAATCCAATAAGCCTACCACGATCTGTTATAATTGCAATGGCCCTAATCATTTTGCTAAGGACTGCCAGGCTAGCCCTATCAAGTGTCATGCTTGCGATAAAATCGGTCATATTGTAAGTACATAAAATATCCGATATTTTTTATTTATTTATCAAAAATGTCGTTACGAGTCTTAAAAATACTAACTTCTTTTTTTCAAAACAGAGCAAGAATTGTCGTATTCCGAGAACTAAATTCCTTAGTTCCAGTTCTAGTGCAACGTCATTCACTTGTTATAATTGTGGTGAGGGCGGCCACATTGTAAGTTTATATTTTCAAATTATTTTATTCACTCGCATGCTCGTTAATTTACTAATATTATATATTATTATTTAGAGCCGCAACTGCCCCAGCAATGAAACCGAGGGGGCCCTTAATGAATCGATGGATCGTCTAAACATTTCCAAATAAGATTTAACGATCTTTGAGACGAAGAAGGTGATACTAATGTGTATTGTTACTGTATTTTTATCTTCTTTTCCAATAGCTTTTAGTGTTTAAATAATGTACTATGTGGAAATAAACTATGCTCGCATATTGAGAGAGTTGAATATATACAAAAAAAACATATAATAAGCTCCAGGGACCAGCCACTTGTTGCGTCTCCTTCTCCCAAACCACACCTTTTAGACCACAACGACCGCGTTGTATTGGAAGTAACACAACTCAATTGTAATCATACCCACAGTATTCTATCAAATCGTTAATTTTTCATCGCAAATTTAAAAATAAGTAAGATGGTTTCCCCTGAAGAATTAGATATGCAGGTAACTATTGTTAGTGTAGACGAGCTTCAAAATCATGGTATTAATGCTGGTGATATTATCAAGCTCAAAGCTTCTGGTATTTGTTCAGTTTCGGTGAGTATTTATTGACGATCTCCTTTGAAAAAATACTAAACAACTAACCACAAATATTTCAACTAGACCGTTTTATCAACAACACGCAGGAATCTTCTCAAGCTTAAAGGATTTAGCGAAATTAAAGTAGATAAGATAAAGGAAGCTGCCGGGAAGTTAATGGTAAGTAAAGAGTCTGATAGGGTTTGTAAATGATATTTTATTAACTAATATTTAAGAATAATGGTTTTATGTCGGGCTTAGAATACTCAGCTTTACGGAAGTCTGTTATTGGTATTTCCACCGGTAGCAAGGAATTAGATAACATATTAGGCGGAGGTATTCAAACGATGAGTATTTCGGAGGTGTTCGGTGAATTTAGATGTGGCAAAACCCAAATGGCTCACACCCTATGTGTAACTGCTCAACTGCCTAAAGTAAGTATCCCCCAAGAATTTTCGTAAAGAATTATTTTACTAAATTGCCATTTAGGAATTTGGTGGCGCTGAGGGGAAGGTCGCGTTTATCGACACTGAAGGAACTTTCAGGCCTGACAGGTAAGCTTAGAAGATGTTTATTTCTTCTTTCAGAATCTTTAAACTAAAACTAAAAAAATACTTTATTGGAATAGAATCCAATCCATTGCAGCTAAATTTGGAGTTGATCCAGAACATGTTTTAGAGAATATATCTTATGGTCGAGCACTGAATAGCGAACATCAAATGGAGTTGGTAGAACAACTCGGTATACAATTTTCTGAAGGAACTTACCGGCTTTTGGTACATATTTTCTTAGTTTGACATTAATAAGCTGAAACCTAAACTAACCAAGTTAAAAATTTCTTACTTTAAGATTATCGATTCCATTATGGCTAATTTTCGGGTTGATGTAAGTTTTTGTTCAATTCATTACAATCCAAGCTGAACTAACAAATATGTTAAAGTATTGTGGTCGAGGGGAGCTCAATGAACGTCAACAAAAGTAAGTAAATAAAAACTCTATTAGCTCTATTAAACCCAATTAACACCAATAACACATAGGTTAAACCAGATGCTTGGAAAACTGAATAGAGTTGCGGAAGAATTCAATATCGCAGTATTTCTTACCAACCAAGTTCAGTCTGATCCTGGAGCTTCGGCGCTATTCGCAGCCCCAGATGGTAGAAAACCGTAAGTTTTAATAAACTTGGAAAAAAAAAGGGGCTCGTTTTTAACATAATATATTTTACAATAGCGTGGGTGGACATGTTTTAGCTCATGCTTCAGCGACAAGAATTCTATTAAGGTAAAGTACTTAGGTCTTATTCTAGTAATAGTTTTTTCAAACTAACATCTACAATTGTCCAACAGGAAAGGAAGAGGAGAAGAACGCGTGGCCAAGGTTAGTTTCCGTTTTTTTTCTTTATTGATTATGATTTCTTTATCTCAAATACTAAGGATTTTTAGCTTTTGGATAGCCCTGATATGCCCGAGAAAGAATGCACTTATATTATTAGTGAAGGCGGTATTACTGATGTTGAATGAATGGGTACTTGAAGTATGTGGAAAAGCCAGGCTTTCTTGATATAATCTGTGCTGTATGTTATGGGCTTGAATTTTTCAACCCTTATTAAAAAAAAGAAAACGTGAATAAAAAATTACTTTTTAAATGTTTGGGGTCTATAGTTCAATATATCTTTATATACAATTATTCATGTCGATAGATAGCATCAGCCATTTTAACCACTTGAGACATTTGCTCGATATCATGAACACGAATGATATCAGC